GGGGGGGCAGGCCCTGTCCGGCAACCTGTGCTCCGAGGGGGAACCGGAGGAACCCTCCCGCCTGCCGAAGGGCTGAGGAGGCGCGCAGTGATTGGTCGCGGTGTGGAGGGGACGACCCCGCGGTATGGGCCAATCCGCGCACCGCGAGGCACCGGTCCGCGCAACCCCGTCCTGCACCCCGCCGCGGCCGAGACGACAAAGAAGGGGTCATCCATAAAGTACAGTACGTCCAATGTTTTTATCAGCCCGGAATACAACCTAACTCTCTTTTGAGGAACCCCAACCACCCTTCTTCGACCCCGGACGTACTTTTTGGATGACCCCGAAGATGACGCGGGGAGGAGGAGGAGGAGGATGATGATGATCGCGAACGCTGATTATCGAGATCACATCCGTATCCTCTGAGCAGAGCCCGCGATGCGGCAAGGCGTGCGGAGGCGTGGCGCGGGGCGGCCCGCCGCGAGCTCACGAGCGCGAATGAAGGCTGCCGCCGCGCCGAGGAGCGTGAGCCGCAACTACAGCCTGGGAAATTCGCACTAGTTTTGCAAACGTCTCGTGTCGGCGGCTCGGAAGCACTGAGAGGGCGCGGCTGGCTGAGCGCGTCTCGACAGTCATGGTTCTGCAGCAGGATGATCCGGGGTGTATGCAGGGACTTACAACCTAACCGAGGTTCCCGATTGGTCAATTCACCCCAAACAAATGACTCGCGGGGCGAACTCGCCAATCAGAGGGACCTCGGTTGTGGGATACAATAGGTCGCTGGATGCAAACCACGTCAGGTGTGTTCGAAGTACGAAGTCGTACGCAGGGACGCAGGGAGTTCTTCGGAGACCACGCTGCCGCGGTATCTATGGGTGGGAGATAGAGTCAGCCAGTGTGGGTTTGATAAACACCACCGCGCCCCGGGCAGGACGGTTATCATTCTCGCCTCTCTCTCTCTCTCTCTCTCTCTCTCTCTCTCTCTCTCTCTCTCTCTCTCTCACACACACACACACACACACACTCACACCGCACTCAAACTCTCCTTTTCCTTCCACTTCCTGTCCGTCGCTATCGCCAGCCCACCCCGTACCCGTATCCTCTTGCTGGCTCGGCGAAACGCGCGTCGCTCCCTAGTTTGAAAAGGGCTCCTCTCCCTCTTCTCTCTCTCTCTCGTCGTCGCTCGGTTCAGCGCGCTGGATAGAGAGAGACGACGGAGGAAGAGAGTGTCCTTTTGCTGCGAGGCGCATATCCGGAAGCGACCAGCGCCGGCAACAGGCTGGCCGCGACTCTCGTTTCAGCGGCAAAGGGGGATCTGCCTGTCCGCCCGACCCTGCCTGCCCCACCCCACCCCGCTGCAGTTAGGACCCTCCCTGGCCCGTACATACAAGACGGGATTAAAATCACCGCCTTCCAAGAAAAAGATTGCGGCCCGAAAATCGTGTGGTGGCCGGCCCTGGGTCCTCCCTCCGCTCGGGCCGGGCCGGCGCGCCGTCCGCGTTATGCTTGTGATCACAGGCCGAGCGTGAAGAGGAGCCCGAGGGGCTTCACGTCCTGGGGGCCGGGCCCGAGGGACGGGCCGCGCCTGCCTGGGCCTCGGGGGTCGACATGGGGGCAGGGCAGGCAGGCAGGCCGGCGGCGTAGGGAGTTATAATCGCTGCTTCCTCCCTTTAGACAGGTGCATAAAAACACTCATGAATGTTTATCGCTTGTATGTAGATGGAAATACTTGTCGAGCGCAGCAGTAAAGGCGGCTTCTGAGGAAACGGCGCGACGCGGCGACCGCCGAACACCCCGGCGACCCGAGTCAGTACGGCACACACCGCGGGTGTAAGTACACGGGCGGACCCGTGTCCAACCCCTGCGAGCCAAAGTTTGCAACGGCCAATAACCCTCGTTGAAGTTGAAGTGAAATGAATGGCGTTTCTTTGACGTTTCTCCGTGTCGCCGAGCCCCCGAGGAGGAAGGTCCGCGACCCCGCCGCGCCGCCGCCCCGCGCCACGCCCCCGCAGTCAGCGCCGAGGTTGTGGCGGTGGTGGTTGTTGGCGGCGGGGAATGCCTGCGCGGAAACGGGTATCGGAAACTCCTCGTGTCAGCGGCCTGGCCTCGCCCCGCTCCGCCCTTCGCGCGCCCGGGTCCCGGGCCCCGGGTGGGCCTGCCCGTCATGGGTATTCATGGCGCAGGGGACGGCGACGACGACAGCGGCGGCGGCGGCGGCGGCGCGCTGCTGCTCGGCTCCGGGAACTTGTTGCACCATCAGCGTCTGCACATGCAGGCCTATGGAAATGACGAGACCAACCGCCACCTGAGCTCTACCTGCTGCCTGCCCTATGCCTGCCCGTGTGGTGCTCGCCGGCGCGGCGTCGTCGTGTGTTCTCACCGAAATACACACGCGGACAGCCGTCGTCGTCCGGGCCCATATCCATACGCCGGTGCGCCCGGGCCGCCCTGGCGGGGCCCCGGCGGGGCCGTACCGGCCCTAAGCAGGTGTTCATTCATGCGCGATGGTATCTGGCGGGTACGGTGGCGGCGCGGTGGTTGAGACCGCGCGCGGCGGTATCAGATGTAACGGGCCGATCACGCGGCGAGCAGCGAGCACTGCAGGGCCTGCTCGGGCAGGGGCGCACCGGCACCGCACGCGGCGCGGACAGGCGCGGCCCGGCGGGCACACCGGCGCACACGGCCACTTCCTGAAGGCCTCATCACCAAAACAAATGCGGA